CCTTGTACAGAAACAAACTATTTTTTTTTTCGTAATTTCCTCTCTTTTGAGTTATTGGTAATTAATCGGTTTTAGGTAGCCCTTATACTGAAACGGCGGAGTGTACTGTTTATTGTTGTCAACCAGTAAACGATATTTGCAGATATTTTTGATGTCATCAATTTTGCAGTTAGGCCTATTAGATTTAAAATTATGTGTAACCAGCATGGGTCACGAGGTGACTGAATGCAACCACTTTACGCTGAAAGTAAAATGTGGTAGGAACATAAGTCCTCAATAATCCTATTAGTGCAGTTGATTGCTTCCGCCTTTGTTAACCTGTCAAAACTGCTAACCCTCATTTAATTAGCTGGCGCGGCGCTGGTGCTACGCGGCGCTAATACTACTCGGCGCAAATACTACTCAACCTTCCGGCACACGGCAGTTGAGTTGAGTTGAGCCTTCCGAGAATCGTCGCAGCAAGTGCCCGTCGGTGTTAGTGACCAGTGCTAGTACTAGTGGCAGTGACAGTTTAGTGACAGTAAGAGTAACAGTAACAGTGTAGTGTCTCTAGTGACAGTGTAGTGACAGTGTTGTAACAGAAGTGATAAATCCTGTAGAGGCTAGCTGTAAGTAGAAACATTGTAAATTTAGAATAGGCTTTAGCTAGGTTTAGATAGGGTTAGTTAGGTGTTAGGTAATTCTAAAATCTGTAAATATATAATAATTAGTGTAAATAAATAGTTATTATAAAATCGCCAAGTTTTATTTGTAAAGAACCTGCTAAGCCCGCAACAATTGGTGTCAGGTGTGGGGTTATTTTGGCGATTTTATTTGTAAAAAAAGAATTAAGGATTTTGTTAGATATTAGTAAGATTCAAGGTCTTTGTTACATATTAGTAATTTGTGTCGTAAATTTGTTTACAAAGGAAAAAATCATTTATTGTAAAATTATTTTATTTGTTTGGCATAAAAATGGCTTTCAAAGGTGTGAAACTTGATGAGTTAAAAGTAGCTGATCTTAGGAGAGAATTAGAAGAACGAGATCTTGATACTAGTGGAACTAAATCAGCCCTTCAGGCACGCCTTAAACAAGCTTTAATTGATGCAGGTGCAGACCCAGATAACTTTTTATTTGAAACATCTGATATCAATAAAATGCTAAAAAACCTAGAGTCAAAAATGTCAGAAAATAGTAAAACATTAGAATCAAAAATGTCAGAAACTAGTAAAACTTTAGAAAACCTAGAAGCTAATATTGAGGCAAAAATCTCAGAAAATAACAAAAACTTAGAAGCTAGCATTGAGACAAAAATGTCAAATGTTGAATTAAAAATGCTGAACAAATTAGGTGAATATTCTAGCAAAGTTGATAGTTTAGAAAGTAGGATGAATGAAATTGATGAGAAAGTAAACTGTATAGAGAAAAATCTAGAGGATAGGTTAGTTGATAAGCTTCGGCAGGAGATGGCTGCGTCGCGAAGCTTCACACCTGCGTCATCGGCTAGCACTGGCGAACTTCTGCAGGATAACGCCCCAGAGACGATCTCCAAGCCAGCACCCACCATTGCTGCCGTTACCCCTCAGAACATAGTTCCTCACTTCGATGGCAAAACCCCCTGGGAGGACTACATGCTTCTCTTCGAGACAGCGGCTATGGTCCATGGGTGGACCGAGGAGACAAAGGCTTCAGCACTGTGCCTGGCACTACGGGGCGATGCATTAGCTGTTCTGCATGCTATGCCGTTGGCGGAGCGAAAGAATTTCGCAGACTTAGTAAGAAGATTGGACATGCGCTTTGGACATCGACATATGGACCAGCTCTACCGATCACAGCTGCGGAACCGGATCCAGAAGCCCAGCGAGTCGCTCCAGGAGTTTGAAGCCGACATTGCTCGCCTGGTGAGAAACGCCTATCCATCGGTCACGGATGATGTCTACGAGAGTTTGGCGGTGGATAAATTCCTAGACGGTCTACGTGAACCTGAGACCCAACAGGCAGTGAAGCTCGCCAGACCAAAGACCCTGAGTGACGCACTGACACAGGCATTGGAGTTCGAGGCTGTACGGCAGTCGGTGAGAGGTCAGGCTCGAGTCCGTGTGGCAGACGCAGAACCTACAACTCCACTGGACATCGAGGACCTGGTAGAGAGAGTTCTGGAGGCACTCAAAAATCGTCACCGGCAGACACGCTGTTGGAACTGCGGAGAGGTGGGGCGTCCCCGGAGTAAACCTCATTCAACCCCTCCAGGATCGAAGCAGGAGTATGACTTCGAGACAAATCATCGAACTGGGCCGAGCCATAAGAAGGCGGATGCACTCTTCAGAATACAATGTGGAGACAGCGGCAATCATTGTGCGCGCAAGGAAGACTATAGTGCATCGGTTCGTCGTGTGACCGTCATTAACGACGAAGAAGACAAGAAGAAGCTCTCAGAGGACCAGAAGGGGGACCCAGACTTAAAACACACCAAGCAATGGAAGATGGACAGTAAAGGAAGACCATCGTGGCAGGATGTGGCTCCCTTGTCTAAGAACGGGAAGATGATAGACGAGATACATGAGAATGTCCGTCGCAACATATCTGGAGCAAGTGACAGGATCAGGGAGAGCTACGACGTGAAGGCCGAGAAAGGAGGGTTCACACCTGGAGACCTCGTGTGGCTACACAATCCCCGAAGGTGTTGTGGATATTCGCCAAATCTCCAGAACTAGTGGGAAGGACCTTATGAAGTTATTTCCCGTCTAAATGACGTCATCTACCGGATTAAGAGGCAACCAGACGGCAAACCCATATTAGTCCATTTCAACAGGCTTGCACCCTACAACGGAGATCAAGGCAAAGAAGAGGAACAACAAGTTCGGAACCTCTCAACCGAGCCAAGAGACATCGTGCCTGAGAGACGTGGAACTAAAGGACCGAGGCTGTTATACAAGGACCTCTTCACTTTGCCAGTGGAATATGCCTTGGCCCACTGCGTAGCAGAAGACCTGAGAGCGTCACGAGGTATAGCCACAGTCTTCAGGAAAAAGTTTGGAGGGACCGAAGATCTTGAGCGTCACAGCCCCGCCATTGGCACAACCCTTCACCAGGAGCGCAATGGACAGCATTTGTTCTACCTCGTAACCAAGGAGACGTCAAGCCAGAAGCCCTCCTACGAATCGTTGAAGAGAAGCCTGCAAGACCTGCGAGACAAGCTCCTTCGGATCGGAATAAAAAAGCTTGCTATTCCCAGGCTGGGATGTGGTTATGACGGACTGGAATGGAGGATTGTAAGAAATATAGTGCAGGAACTTTTTGAGGACACTGGCATCGACATTGTGGTCTGCGTATACAACCCATGGGGAACCGGAGACATTATAGGTCCAGAAGATCCCAAACTTCGAGAGAAATCTGTTCTGGGTCAGAACAGTCTTAAGGAGGGGGCAGTGTTACAAGTCAGGAGCCCCGCGCAACAATAGCCAGGCGCTGTCTCAAAAGGGTTGTTTGTTTACACGGGTTTCTCAGAACGCACCACTGATAGACAATAGACCTATGTCAACGGACTATCTCAATAGAGGCTCCAGAACCTTCTACACTTCTACGCCGGTTTGTAAACAACGGATACTCGAACTCTCCACTCTGGAATGTTCTACGGCAAGGTTATATAAGGGACCGTCTTCCGGCACACGGCAGTTGAGTTGAGTTGAGCCTTCCGAGAATCGTCGCAGCAAGTGCCCGTCGGTGTTAGTGACCAGTGCTAGTACTAGTGGCAGTGACAGTTTAGTGACAGTAAGAGTAACAGTAACAGTGTAGTGTCTCTAGTGACAGTGTAGTGACAGTGTTGTAACAGAAGTGATAAATCCTGTAGAGGCTAGCTGTAAGTAGAAACATTGTAAATTTAGAATAGGCTTTAGCTAGGTTTAGATAGGGTTAGTTAGGTGTTAGGTAATTCTAAAATCTGTAAATATATAATAATTAGTGTAAATAAATAGTTATTATAAAATCGCCAAGTTTTATTTGTAAAGAACCTGCTAAGCCCGCAACAGTATCATATATGGTGAGTCAAAATGTAGCTGAGTCTGAGACTCAAGTAGCTGAGTCAGCTACTTGCTCTTGTGCGGATATGTGTAATCAACAGGCCTGTTTAGTAAAAAAAAACCCGTTTATGTTTATGTATGTGTACGTCGCGTGTGACAGTTTGTGTTTTTGTATATTAACGACGCTACTAAGGCTGAACGTCTGATGATGGCATGGATATGCTGAAACGGCCGTAACAATGTTACAACTTCTATGAGCTGATTGACAAAGGTAACCCTATTTATTGATTTAGTTAAAAAAATGTGTATTTATTAATGAAGAACATCAATGAAAACTTGAAGTCTTTAACTTAACCAAAAACAAAAGGTGGCCTTTTAAATCAGCCAGACGTATAAAATGTATTATCGATGCATTTTCAAATGACTGCCATGTTGTACTTGGTTGTGATAGAGACATCTGGTTTTCGCTGTGATAATCTTCCTATAGAATTAAGAGTCATTTCATGGGGCTATATCATAAAAATTTTTAAGCTGCTCCCAAAATACCCCATTGTAACGTCCTGGGCCAAATTGTCATACCAACCAAAAGTGTACTTTTATAACACATAAAAGTGTGCAGAGTTTAGTTTTCCTTGTGTAATGCTTAATCAAGTTAAGCATATCTGTTGGAAATTGAGTTATTTTTATATAATATAAATTTCAATATTAATCAACATCAAATATAATAATTTATTAGTCTTTGTTTTTATGAACAGATGGTTTATTTTAATTTATTTTAAACAATTGAGAAGAGTTGTGGTATGAATTGAAAGTGATGAAGAACAGAACAATACAGAGAAAATGTTTTAAATATTGTTATTTAGCAGAATAAAATCAGTTCTTTATAGATAATATTTTGTAAAAGTTCTTCATTTTACACGAGTTCTAACATAGTGGCGACCGTGACAGGACATTTTTATAGTTAAAATTCAGAGTAGGACCAAGCTTATATTTTACTTACAATGGATAAGCTGAAGTCATTAAAGACAAAAAGGACTCAACTAAGAAGAACTTTTACAAAGTGCAGAAATGAAATGGACAAATTACTGGCTGAAGATATTAAAGATGAAGTAACAATTAAAAGTAATTTAAACAAGCTGCAAGATAAAGCTGATAGGCTTTTTAAGCTAGATGAAGACATCAAGGAAGCCTTGTTTGAAGATCCTGCAACAAAAGAAGAGGACTTAGAAGATGAGTTTGATACTGCAGAATATTACAGAGACATGTTATCTTCAATGAGAGCTAAGTATGACCATTTCATTATTCAGGTTGGCCTAAGCCAACAGTCAAGAAGTGAAGTCGGGGATACCGTTCACAGTCTTAAATTAGTATCTAAGAAGGGCTTAAGTCTACCTAAATTACAATTAAACCAGTTTGATGGAGATGTAAAAAATTGGATAGGGTTTTGGGGGCAGTTTAAGAAGGTCCATGAGGATCCTGATCTAGAACCTGAGGATAAGTTCCAATACCTCATCCAATCTTTAAAGCCAGGATCATCCCCTAGGGAATTAGTAGAAAGTTTTCCCCCATCTGGAACTAATTATGTAAAGGCCCTAGAACAATTAAAAGCAAGATTTGGTAGGGATGACTTTTTAATAGAAGTATATGTGAGGGAACTGCTCAGTTTAGTGCTCCAACAAGTAACGCTAGGTCCTAATACTAAACTGTGCCGACTGTATGACAAACTAGAAACCCAGTTAAGGGCACTTGAAACTTTAGGAGTCACTTCAGACAAGTACGCTTCAATGCTGTATCCTCTGGTAGAATCTGCTTTGCCCGAAGAAACATTACGAGCCTGGGAGCGGCATCGTTCAAGTAAGTTACCACACACACCCTCAACTTCTACATTGTCAGATGATAAATCAAGTAATTTTTTACAAGAACTTCTTGATTTTCTAAAGGCTGAGGTGGAGAGTGAAGAAAGGCTGGCTCTTGCTCGTTCGAGTTTTAAATCTGCCACTCCAGGGGAGAACAACAGCAAATGTAGCAGCCAAAAGAGAAGGTCAGCAGTTCACGAACCTCGTCAGGGTCAACCTACGGCAGCTGCTCTATTGACAACTGGTACAGAGGGTCATAAAGGGTTGGTGAGTAACTGCATTTACTGTTCTAAGGGAGGTCATAATGCTCAAGATTGTTCCTCATTTCAACAATTGACATTAAATGAAAGGAAGGAACATCTAACTAAGAAAAACTGCTGCTTTGTATGCTTAAGACAAGGCCACGCAGCAAAAAGATGTAAGGTATTTGTAAAATGCCTCTTCTGTTGTAAAAGGCATTATGGAATCATGTGTAGGGACTTGTATGAAAGTAGATCTAAAATTGATGCTGATAAACCAGATTCTAATCTACAGCAGCAAAGTAGCCCTAAACCTAAGTCAGAGGTTCTCAGCAATTTTGAAAATAGTAAAGGAGAAACTCTATTACAGACTCTTTTAGTTAAGGTTGTGGATGATAAAGGTAAAGAATATTTGGGAAGAGCACTTTTGGATCCAGGTTCCCAGAGATCCTACATTACTAAAGACTGTGTCACCAAATTAGGTCTACAGGAAATAGGTAGCGAAGTAATAAACCATAGTCTGTTTGGCGGAGTAAATCTTAAACAAAAATCTCATAAAAATTACCTAGTGACTCTTCAGAATGTAAATAACTCTTTCAAGATATCTATTCCTGTGACAGATCAAGAAACTATTTGTAACCATGTACCTAGGCTTAAGAGTGAAGAGTATTTTGACATCTTGAAAGAAAAGAACATTATTTTAACTGATGTAGGTGAAAATGTACCAGATGTAAAGATTTTACTTGGTGCAGATGTATTAGTGGATTTGTATACAGGAACTATCCAGAGGATTGACGACAAATTAGTTGCTATTGAAACGTACCTTGGATGGACCGTGATGGGGAAACAACCACTCAGTGGAAGTCGTAATACGTCTCTTCTAACTTTATTTTGCCAGAGTAAACCAGAATTCAGAGATCTATGGAGTTTGGAGACAATCGGAATCAAGGACCCTATTGAGGTGAAGCAGAGAGACTCCATTGATGCAGAAGTATTTCAACATTTTAAAGAAAATGTAGCGGTGAACATTGAAAACAGATATGAAGCCAATTTGCCATCAAGCAAAAGACTAAATACTCCCAACAAATTAAGGGACTGTGTTGGAGAAAAAAATGTTTCAGATCCAGCAGAGTCGATAACGGTTCATCAATTGCTGCATCGCCCAGTGACAAAAAACAGTAGCTTAACTACAAAAATAAAGCCAGTGTTTGATGGGTCTACAAAAAACAAAAGAGGTAGTTCTTTAAACGAATGTTTTGCAAGAGATTCAAATTTCTTAAATTTAGTTTCACCTTGTGTAGTGAAATTCAGGAAGCCGTTGGATTGGGAAACCGTGAAAAAGAAAGGTGAAATCCATAAAATAACTTGGAAGTTCGATCCTCCTAGCGTCCTATGGTGGGGAGATATGTGGAAACATCGTCGAAGAGATCAAGATTTAAGAGAGAGTATCATGCAATGCTTGTATACATTGAAAAAAAAGGAAGAGAATTCATCTTTCTCGACCTCATGGAAATAAATTCAAAGGACATGTCAAGGAAACAGGATGCACATATTGAAGTGGAAGATAAGTCATCAACACCAACAGAAACAAGAAGAGGGAGAAAGATAAAAATCCCTAGGAAAATGGACTTGTGAACTTATAAAAGAAACATGTAAATAGTTTTGTTTGAAATTTTGATGACGTAAAGCAAAATTCCAAGGTGGGGAGGATGTTGGAAATTGAGTTATTTTTATATAATATAAATTTCAATATTAATCAACATCAAATATAATAATTTATTAGTCTTTGTTTTTATGAACAGATGGTTTATTTTAATTTATTTTAAACAATTGAGAAGAGTTGTGGTATGAATTGAAAGTGATGAAGAACAGAACAATACAGAGAAAATGTTTTAAATATTGTTATTTAGCAGAATAAAATCAGTTCTTTATAGATAATATTTTGTAAAAGTTCTTCATTTTACACGAGTTCTAACAATATCCATACTTTTGAATAACCTTGTATATCTTTGCAAAAGGTTTTTGTAGACTACAGAATACTGGATGTCCTCAACAATGAAAGTAGAACTTCAATAAAACACCCAATCAAAGACATGTTCAACTATGTTGGATTTGAGAACAAACAATACTATTTAAGAAATTGCTATGTAGACGGCAGAAATGATTTTACTTCGTTGTTCAATGCCAAAGGTAATACCAACTGTTAATAAATATTACAAACATCTGTACTATGTGTAGATCAGGTATATGTTGAACTAAGTATTAACCAAACTTCCATAGGAAAAATCATTATTTTAACAGATAAAACTATGATTGTTTTGTAAATTATACCAGTGTCTGAAAAAACAAATCAAAAGCAAACCAGTGTAATAATCTGAAAATCTTAAAATTTTATCAAAAGGAAAAGGGTCATCGGAATACTGTACAATAATGAACAATATTGCGATTTTGTGATTTTTATCTGGTCATAAGAAACATTAAAATAGAAACAGCTCAAGAAGATGATGCTAAAAATTTATCCGGTATAAACTCGAAGTTTCCATCAATCTTTTGTCAGGTTTGATAAGCCAGCTTAGAGTAGAATTTCTTGGAGAGGTTAACCTTATTATTACGGTCTCTTTCGTCACAAGTTCTTTTCGCAATCTCTTTAAACCAAAATATCAGATGATTTATCATTGCTGGATAAACTTTAGTCAACCCTGATTTTAGAACAGCTACGGTTGGGTATCCATTGTTGTAATATATATGATTATTGTTGTATAATTTTCATTATTTTTTTCCATTGACACGTCTGCTGCGTATTTTAATCCGATTAGCTTCGAGTATAGGGTTTCATTGCCTATGTACACGAATACTAGAAAAATGCCGGTATGGATCATAAACATAAACAATAGTATATTACGTTACTAGTCCTGAAAATAAGTGTTTACCGGACGAGTGTGGTCGTTCCCGTGCGAGACGAAGTCGAGTACGGGATTTCCATACGAGTCCGGTAAACACATTTTGGACGAGTTACGTACGATAGTTTACGCAACACTACTAAATCTTTACAAATCTTTATATATGACCACCAACTAAAGGACTAACTAAAAATCAATAGTCGTAATCTCTAAGAGAGGTTATGTTTTTGTTTAGTAACACTCGTTGCCAAATGCAGTATAATCAGCTGTTTGGTGTCCGGTAAAACTCATTACAGTACATTAGTACGCAATAAAACACCATTTTATTAGGCTGGCGGCAAACAGCTGTTTTCTGGACTAAATCCTTGCATGGGAAGTTCGTCAAAATAGTGTAGTGTGGCGTAAATGATGTTGTTGGCCCGAATCATACTAAGCATAGAACCAATGATAGAACATAATGTTTTGGCAGTTCTGTTTAAGCAATGTTAAATAATGTTTATTTTCAGGCCAAAAACGTCGATTTGTTTATGTTTATGATCCATACCGGTATTTTTCTAGTATTCGTGCCTATATATGTATCGTAAATGTACGTACCTATGTATCTATGTGTCTACGTGTCGTATCTATGTACGTACCGGTAGCATTCTTGCTAAAAAAGATTTACTTGTTTTTCTAATTATTTGACCCACTTGAACCCGGTAGTAACAAATCTCTTTTCTTTTTTTCCTTAAACAGATCTGTTTGTAAAATTTAACTATAGTTACTTAGTATGCCTATCAAAAAAGTAAAGCTCACGCTGAACAATTTATTTAAAAATTTATTAACGTATTTAAACATATACGGACCCGTACAACAAAATAGACAGCAGATATTGCAAAAAAAGTCTACAGAAACTGGGACAGTCAGGCAGTCTTTTAGATTTCATATCATTTTAGAAAGTTATAGATTTAACTCAATAAATTTATTTGAACGTTTAAAAATCATTCGAATGAAGAACAACTTCACATTGTGAAACGTAATTCTTATCAAAATTTAGAATCGATCCAGATAATTATAAATAATGGTAAAAACGATTTAAACTAGATCTCTGAACACATATCCATGAACTAACAAACATTTTAAAGACATATTATAACTTTTATGACACGTAAATATTGTTATTGAGTTTTTGTTTTGGGAAACATTTATTTTAAGGAAACTTTTGTAAATTATTTAAGGAAACAATCAAGCCAATTGTTGGAGCGAATTAATCTAAACGTCACTGGTCAGAGTTTGTAATATCAACGACTGTCACAGGCACCATTTCGTGACAAATAAAAGGCTTCTCTTGAGAATTCTTTGTTCAGTAAATGAGCTCCATTGTTGGTAAACAATTGTAAAATGTCTCTGGAGGCGTAATCACCAATTACAAGCAGGAAAGAAATTGGGCTGTTGTTTTGCTTTATTGTGAAAAGTTGTGTAAACATCTAAAAACGTTGCTAATTTATTTGGTATTTTTATGATTTTGATCAAACCACTGATGGATTAGTAAGACAGTGAAGTATTTTTCATCAACTTGATTGGTCCAAACGTTAACGATGAATAAGGCCCCTTTTAAATGTATCATCTATATATGGATAAGACTTAGTCAGTTGTAAGTTTTGTTCACCCCAATTTTGTTGTTTAACCAACTTAAAAACTGATTAAACTAAATGCATAATGGTAGGTCTACATATAGGATACTTGTAAATATCTTTTATCTTCTGACTACCAAATGGCCAAAACTTTACTATTATTTACATAAAAAACACACACGTATACTTTCGCTATTCAAATCCAATATGGTTTAATGCATTAGTATAATAGATAGAACATACTCCTGTACAAAAGACGATTTTTTTTTTGCGATGAACTATATTTTTTGTCATACTGCAGCAAAAACAGCCGTTTTTAATGCATGTGCAACGGGTCTAGAGTAAAATTTGTATTCTCTTTATAAAGCATTTCTACTCTTTATGGATAAAAAGCATTTTTAGCTTCTAGGGAAAAATTTGCCGTTATCAACTCAGTTGTAAATGTTGATTGTAAACAATCACATGTGTCAAAGGTAGCTTATATCAATTATATCAATTGTAGCTTATTGTTGCCTTAATGTAAATAGTTCAACATATCAATAGTAAGTATAATATACTCTGTCACATCACATAATCGTAATAGATGAACCGATTGAATCACTTACAGCTGATTGTTTCCATTAGCAAATTAGATTTAAAACAAGTTAGTAGTAGTTTTGTGAGGTTTAAATAAAAACTATTTTAGTTTTGTAACAGCTTGTTCAAATAGTAGTGCAATATGACGAAAAATATAGTTCATCCCGGACAAAAATCATCTTTTGAACCCTCGCTTATTTCATTAGTAAAACTTGAGCTCAGGTGGAAAAGTGTCACTTTACGACCTAAAGATGAAATTTACTACTATGTTTAAAACCCTAACATATTTATTTTTTCCAAATTAATCATCTGGGTTTTCTAGCTCAAGTATCAATAACTAAGTTTAGGGCAAGGTAAGGAGATTAAGATGGATTATCAACGGATGACAGAATAAGCTGAAGTGCTAAGGTGATTAATGGTGAATGTAGACAATAGAGCGTTCTATCACCACCTAGCAGCTAGCAGCTAGCAGCTAGCAGGCTGCTTCCCACCATCAACTGTGTGAGAGTGGGAGACTTCCATGGTTCCACACTATTGTCTGGCTGGTCCATTGTTAGTTACCAATTTCAATGTAGGAATCACATTCTGTTACACGCTTAAATCCTGTAAAATCCATTTGTTCTGTATGTTATTATAACAACTAAATGTATTCATCAAAGTACAATTTTAACCAACTTTATTCAACATAAATTAAAAACAAGTGAACAAGTAATCGTAACCAGCTGATAGTTGTAATATAAATAGGCAATAAGTAAGGTAGACATTTAGGATGTAAATGGTATTAAAATACACTCCTAAATGTGTTATACCCACATAAATTATTAAAGTTTTAGTTTTATGTGATCCAATTTAACTTTTAATATACAACTTTTTAGGAAGACTGTCATTTAAGACTTAGGAGACATTTTGACTACAATCCAAACCCAAAGATTGTCTTTATTTTAAATGTATTTTCTGTTTTTATTTTTATTTTGTTAACTCCCACGATTACTAGAAAAATACCGGTATGGATCATAAACATAAACAAAATGACGTTGTTGGCCCGAATCCTATACTAATAGCATTGAACATATGTTTTGGCAGTTCCATTTAAGCAATGTTAAATTATGTTTATTTTCGGGCCAAAAACGTCATTTGTTTATGTTTATGATCCATACCGGCATTTTTCTAGTAATCGTGTTAACTCCTATGTGAAGACGGATTAATATTTATGCAATAATATTGTATATCATATAATTCCAGTTTTAGCGAATTTCCCTATAGGGAAGTAGCTAGTAGCTAACCGTAGGTGGCACAGTCAGACCTAGACCCGGGACCGATTACTTTTTCATTTTGATGTCCCCAGAGGCCAAAAACGCCATTCGTTCAAATTTTTATATATGTATATATATATATATATATATACGTCCGTGAACGCGATAACATAGATAAAACATACTCCCTTAGTAGATTTCTCATCCTTATGGAACAGCTGAAGTCAATTTTATTGTTAGTTCATGTACGGTTTATGTAGAGGTCGTGTTTTGTTTACAATTTGTTTCCCGTTATTACAGCCATTTAAAACCTCGTTTAAACAAATAATACGATCTAATCATAAACAATAACTTGTCCCCTAGATATATAACCAAACAGTAAAGCACAAATCAAGAAATTAACCCTAAAATAATGGAAACAAAGTTTCATCGACACTAGCGCCTTTGTGTCTAGTACATGAACTAGACACGAAAAACGTGCTTCAAAATTTACAATGGGATGAAAAGTCTACTTGTGTTGGTTAGTCTATGGCGATAACTTGAGTAATTTTTGTCCGATTTTGATGAAATTTGGTTTAAAGGTGTAAAGCGGGATAAACTTGAATGAGTTCGCGAACCAGCACTATCGGACCGGGCTGGGCACTTGAACGGGGCTTTACAGGGGGTCTTATGGGGTAAAAATTGGTTTTTCTCACTTTTGACCCTCAAAACACAAAATTTACGCGGGGTTATTGGTATTATAATGTATATTACTGTGTGTATAATTATAGGAAAAATATAAATACACAAAATAACTATAGAAAATTTCATACTCTTTAATATGAGACCTTAACTTTGATTCTAAAGGGTGATTTTTTAAACTAAATAAAAAAATGAAAAACAACCTGCATTGACATAAAAATGCATTTATTTGAACTACAGTGTCATGACATTAACGTTTAAAAATGATTTCTGGCATAAGGGCTCCATTCCGATCGCGTAGAAAGCCCAATCGAATCGAATCGAGAAGTCCAATTTTGAAATACTCTTTCCATCACCTGTGGTTGAATTCCGCCAATAACTCGACGAATGTTAGCTTCCAAGTCATTTAAAGTTTCAACGCTATCGGGCAATGTTATAGGACGTTTTCGTTCCTCAGCTAAACGAACTTGAAGTGGATTTAGAAAATGTCTGGTTCCAACAAGACGGCGCAATGTGCCACACGGCAAACGACACAATTGGCCTCTTGGCAGAAACATTTGGTGAACGTATCATCTCATTTAGAGGTAGTGTCAACTGGCCCCCATGGTCGTGTGATATCACGCCAACAGACTTCTTTCTGTGGGGATATGTTAAGTCTCAAGTATACGCTGACAAGCCACAAACTTTAAATGACTTGGAAGCTAACATTCGTCGAGTTATTGGCGGAATTCAACCACAGCTGCTGGAAAGAGTATTCAAAAATTGGACTTCTCGATTGGGCTTTCTACACGAACGGAATGGAGCCCATATGCCAGAAATCATTTTAAAAGTTAATGTCATGACACTTTAGTTCAAATAAATGCATTTTTATGTCGATGCAGGTTGTTTTTTATTTTTTTATTTAGTTTTAAAAACCGTACCAATAGTAAAATCACCCTTTACCTTCAATGTAGCAGGTGAAAACAGTAATCTTGCAAACCCTTGCATTTGGTTGCGCGTCAGGGGTAGAGCGCACCCTTAACGCTTTTTACCATGCGGTTGGCATTCTGGGTTATAGTAGTATGTTTTCTGTGGCTGCGGTTACCATAGGTTCTGGCACACATCGCTGGGAGCGCCATGTAGTTACGACCTACGTGCTACGTACCTACATGGCACTCCCATGGGTGTGCGCCAGACCCTATAGTAACCGTGGTAACCACAGCACGGCTGTCAGTCTATATTTAATTATTTTTGTTTGTGTTATAACTATAACTGATTGGTATCCCTTCCTAAGTATTCTGACTTTACTAAATGTTAAGTTTTTTTTTTAAGTTTTCAGTGAATTAACCAATTAGGCGGTCATAGGGCTAGAAAACTGCCAACAAATCCAATAATGATAACAATGTAATAGGTCCATTTACAGTAATAGTTTTATTTAACTAAACCGTATCAGGTTAACAAAGCCAAAGAAAAGGTAAGTCCTGATTTAACTAAAAAATCATACCGGAAAACAGAGTTTTGGAATGAGCTATGGTTGGTTTTTATGGTTAATTTAAGTTAATTTAGAGAGGAAAGTATTGTACTTTTTATAACCAATCCTTTTAAGTTATACAATGAATGACGATGTTGTCTGAACAGAGGTTGACTGTGTGACGTACGATGATTAATCTTCTATAGAGAAAACCCCTCAATAGATATGTCCTATTTGTTTGCCAAAAGACTGTTTCCTAATTATTATAAATAAACAGTCATATGTTTTTTAAATTGTTTTTGTCAACAACAGATAATAATTCAGTGTGTTGTTTTTTTGTTGAATGAAATAAAGAAGATGGTTTTTGTTAATATTTATTTTGTCATTTTTTAATGTTTGATATTAAGTAATCGTCCGTGATATCAAAGTTATTGAATTACGTATATTGACGATATCATGTGTCCCATTATTTTTGAAATTCTTAAAATTGTGCTATGGGTGGAAAAAAGCATCTCTGGCCACATAGAAATAAAAAGAATGATTCGTAACATCTATAGTAAATAATAACGTTTTACCTGAATGATCTATAAAAATTTTGGATTAGTATACTAGGCTATATACAATCGATTAAGTAGTATCACTTTTATAACAGGTAAAAGCGGTTACGGTATACAATAAATTCTAAGGTCCAAATAAATGTATGACCGATAACATTTAAAATGTTTTACAAATCAGGTTTTAATGTGCCATGAACTCCGTAGTATTAAATTAACTCTAGTTTAGAGATCACAACTTTAAGGCCACAAGTATAATAAATCAGGTGTTCTTACCACATCAACCTTTGAGTAATAAATTAACCCTTTGAGTGCCAACGTCCGGGGAACCGGACGTTTTTAAAACGAGCCAAAAGTGCCGACGTCCGGCCGACCGGACGTTTTTAGAACGAGCCAAAAGTGCCAACGTCCGGCTGACCGGACGTTTCGTAATGATCGAACAGTTGTCATAACAACCGAATGGATACTCGGATTCTTTTAACCCATATATTAACATTGAGTCAAAAGTTACTAGATGCGATACATTGATTTTCGTTGGTCGAAATATCGAAAATTCGATTTTTACGAAATTTTAACCTAAAAATCGCCAGATCGCGCTCGGCATTTTTAGCGCGACCTTCGGGAAAAATCATCGGCATTTTTTGAGCGTTACTTTTATTTCTCGCCTGGCACTCTAAGGGTTAAAAGATATTAAATGTTAGTTCAAAAACATAGAGTGAATAATATTATCCATATATGTTATTTGGGGTTACATTTAGCAAGAACCAGATGAAATATTAACAAAATACAAAAACAATTGAAATATGTGAAGCTAAAGACTGGGAGCAATCAGAAGGCACTGCAATGGTAAAATGTGTTTTTTGTTTTTTGTTTTAAGGAATCACAAACAATTCAATTTCTTTCAAACCAACAGTAAATACCTTTAGGACAACTTTAACTATGGCGAAAATGCCAGGAGTAACTGTGACTCAATCAGAACAGGTAGTACAGAAAATGGCAGCTTTAGAAGAGATTAAGACCATGGACGTTTCAGCTGCAGCGATGCGGTAGAAAACTTTACGTGCGATGGTACAGGTCCAGCCATTAAACAGTTTTTTGGACAAATAGACCAAGCGGTAGTTTTAGGTAACTGAAAATCTAAATTTAAGAATACCCTCCTACGATTAAAGCAAGGCATGTGAGCCACAGAGGCATTTCTGACGTTGTAGTTTGATTTTAGTAAAGAAGACAGTGAATGTTTTGAAAACTTAGATTTTGAGGAGATAAAAAAGACCAGAATTGAGCGTTTTACTCGTAAGAAGACAGACCACTATAATTTTCTCGCGCAGCACATTGCTACTCAAAAAAGTGATGAATTTGTGGACGTATTTGCTGAACGTAATTGGCAGCTCCGGGCACAGAAGGTCACCAAGTCGGAAGATCCAGCCACTAGGATAGTTATTAAACAAGAGTCGGAAGGGCAGATATTAGCAGCACTTCAACATGGGTTGCAAGGGAAAGTTGGGGAAATAACTCAATTTGCTTTCCCCTAACATTTAAGCAAGCGCTGGAGATGATCGAAGTCAATGATAGAATATTCTGCTGTATGTCCATGAGTAAAGTGCCTTCTGATTGTTTTTTTTTTTTTTGACTAAGCCTAAATCATCGTAAGAAATGAAACCTAGGTTAAAAGTTTATGAAACAATTATTGAAAAATAAAAATTGAACATGTTAGTACTAACCGTATGGAATAAATAAAGCTGATATTGTATGAGATGATTAGAATATAAATGTATAAAATGATAAATGCTTAAGGTAGAACTCTGAGTGCTTCAATCAACTTCCTCGACGGTTGGTCCTTTTCCTCCGCTCTGGTGTAACTTGGTCATCAGCGGCGAACACTCGGCTTGTAGCTGCTTCAACTTATCCTTGAACTCATCAGTTTCCGCCAAACTGTTGGAGTCTAGCCATGATGTCACCTCCGCACACTTGTCCACAATCTTCTTCTTCTCCTCAGCCGTCAGTTTGTCTCCTGCTTCTTCGCCCGCTTGTTTCACACTGAACGTGTAACTCTCTAGCTGATTTCTTGCTGTGATCCGTTCCTTTTGCTTTTCGTCTTCTGCCTTGTACTTTTCTGCTTCGGCCAACATCTTTTCAATCTCTTCTTTGCTCAGTCGGCCCTTATCGTTCTGGATGGTGATCTTCTCTGACTTGCCTGTGCTGCTTTCCTTGGCCGAGACGTTGAGGATGCCGTTGGCGTCTAGGTCAAAGGTCACTTCTATCTTGGGGATTCCACGGGGTGCTGGTGGGATGCCAGCTAAGTTGAAGGTTCCCAAGAGATTGTTGTCTTTCGTCATTGCACGCTCTCCTTCAAATACCTGTGGCAGAAGTTTTGAATGAGTTTACTGTCGACTGTGACTTGACTTGCTAGAAAACCTCCTAGCAATCTTAGTAATCTACCTAGATAGTAGTTTGACATAGAGACTGTACAAATTGTAATGTAAACCATACCTTTATCTGACGGACATCAAACACTATTTTCCAAATTGAAATGTATACGATTGACTTTTGATACTAAGTATCAATCTATGTCAACCATGTATCATTTTAATTAAAAGAGTTTACTACCGGTATTGTTAGGAATTAAAACTATTTTCATGTTCTATTTCATCTTTTAATTTTGCATGATAGTTAGGAGAGGGAAGCAGAGAAAGTTGGGTGATTAGGCTACTCATATCACTGTCTTTGGTTTAGGCCCTTTCGTGTACTTTAGTGAGGTAGCCTTATGTTTAGGTTAGTATTAACCATTGGTTTGCACAGGGATCAGAGAAGGCAATAAGTTAACTTGACTAGGGAAAATCAAATTTTTTCCTACGCCAGTGGCATTTTACAAGAGGTCTGCGTGAGAATAAAGTTAGCGCTCGAGGGTGTGCTGGGAATTGAACCCGTCGCTCGCGCACCAAAGTCCGAGATGCTAACGAAAGGTCCAAGAAGACAAGAAAAGCTTTAGTGGACTATCAGAACAGAGCTTTATAATTTTACAATTATTCTCTTCATTTTTACCAAACAATATAACATTTAAAATATTTGTTTACTTAACTTTTAATTTTAGAGTGTAAAAAATCTAAACAGCGTAGGATACTGAAGCTTAGCTTTAAGGTAAGAATTACTGAGAAAATTTAAAAAACCAAACATTTTAAACTCCCTCATTATTCTTACAGAGAAAGTTTAAACTGTCAAATAAACTTGTTTATGGATATGTTTTCTGTGTATCTGCTGTGTCCCAACTTGCGCTAGTCAAACATTTGTGTGCTGTGTGACTTGGGCCACAAAACTTGGCTTCCGCGCGTTGTGTCATGTGCGACTCAGCATACATCCTGAAAACCTTGGTCTTGTTACTGTTTAAAGTATATATTTTGTTAGTTAGCATCATAAACCCTTCAAGAAAGTTTAATGAGCCTTTCTTGTCACAGGTAAAAAGGCCTCCAATGGTTTGAGATGACATAGAATCTGTGAACTACTACATACTATGACTAGGACAGCTCATTGTGCAATGTACATTATTTGTTTGGTCTTTTACAACTGTTGCTGATTGTATTAAGTGTGACAGAAGACTATGAACATGAAAACTATAAAAGGTTGTCACTGTGGAGGGTTATAAAGCCTTTAAGCATTAAGTTGTGAATATGGACCTAAATTCCACCAACACTTAATATGAAAATCAAAGGGCAAAATAAGAGACTGTTTGGCACGATTTGGAATAAAACTACCATAACAGAGTTTGGCTGAAGTTGATGACCATAGCCCACAGCTCTCACTGGGCCGTTAAAAACCTTACGTTTGAATCTGCTCGTTTGTTCCCAAGAAACTAGGAGTGCTGCTGTTGGTGGCTGGGACCGAGGAGGGAGAACTGACGTCACTACACTGTTGCTATCGATCACATATATAAATGAATTGTATACTTTAAAGGAATCAGGAGATAGCAGCCCTAATAGATTCTGGTGACGACACTAGCAGATTCAAAGGGGTATGAGTTAGATTTTTATGTATATCGCACATCCATTTTGAAAAAAACCTAAAACTCATCCCAGTCATCTCACCTGTATAGTGACGGCTGGTTGGTTATCCGAGTATGTGGTGAAGGTCTGCGTCTGTTTACATGGAATACGAGAGTTGCGCTCCACAATCTTGGTCATGACGCCCCCAGCTGTCTCAATACCTAGAGACAACGGAGCAACGTCCACCAACAGAACATCTTGTATCTGTGAGCTGGTGTCCCCAGACAAGATGGCCGCCTGCACGGCGGCTCCGTACGCTACTGCTTCATCGGGGTTGATGGAGAGGTTCAGGGGCTTGCCGCAGAAGAAATCCTGAAAAAAGTAAATACAATGAGAAAATGATAGTGCTTTGAAATCTACTGCTCGATAAAAACTGCAGAATACAAATATTTTTAACTTGCAGCTTGAATTTTTTTACAGAACATTCAAGGTAAGTGATTATAGGTAGGTACTTAAACATTCAGAATTCGATCAGTTGAGTCCTAGCAACCTTTCTATAATGTTAGGGGGCAAATTTTGTTGAAAAGATTAAACCAGTATGCAGAAGAAATCATAGGAGAATATCAGTCGGCTTTAGGGATGGAAGAAGTACTATTGACCAAATATTCATGATTAATGAGGCAACCCTAGAAAATTTTTCTGAGTTTGACATTGACTTGCACACTTTATTTATTGATTATAGTCCTGCCTTTGATAGCATAAACAGAGAAAGACTGATGCCATTAAAGATGGGTGTACCAAAAAAAATCGTAAGCCTTACTCAAATCAGCATGGAAAACTCAAAAGGAAAGGTTTCAGTAGGGGGAGTGAAAATCAATGAGTTTGGAATAACAACAGGAGTTAGGCAAGGACCCCTGTACGCTGTTTTGTTTAACCTGGCTTTGTATTCAGCTATTTGTGAAGTAGGTATTGAAGGAAGCGTTATTCGTAGGATGAGACAATTGGGAGCATATGCGGATAACATTGTCATCTCAGCTAGAAATATAAATGTGCTGAAGGAGACATTTGTGAAACTAAAGGGACCTCAAAGATGGGACTGTGCATAAATGAAAGTAAAAAAATTTTTAAGATATCACGGTCAGAGGAGAGAGAGAAGCGAAGAGCATGCTCATTGGAAATAGAAAATTTCAAATTTCAAAATGTAACAGAGTTTATCTTGGGTCATCCGTAAACAATAAAAATAAAATCAAGCATTGAAATCCAAAACCAGATAATGAGTGGTAACAGGGACTATTTTGCTCACCAGAAACTTCTAGAACCTAGGTTGTCTTAAGCAGACAAAATAAATTAAATTTGTATAAAAGCTCAATTAGACCTGTTGTAACCTATGCGGCAGAAACATGGACACTGCTATGCTCCGATGCTAATGCCCTAAGAGTTTTCGAAAGAAGAATATTAAGACAAATCTTTGGTGCAGTAAAAGAGGGGGAGCAATATATATTGTTCCCATGACTGGATAGACATGAGTCAAAATACAAAAATACTACATAGGCTATATTTCATGCTTCAGGACCACTGTTTTGATAAAAGATCTTTCATTATATTTTAAATAGCATTATACTTTTAGGGTTACCAAACCAACCATATCAGGCATCTAGATTTTTGTTTTCAATTTATGGCAGCACTGAACACATTCTACCTGTGGCGTGGCTTGATGGTATACATTAAGTATGAATGTAGGGAAAATTTAATGTGTGTGAGAGTGTGTAGGTAATAGAATGTAAGATAAAAAATGTTTTCCTTTTTTGTAGTTTTAATTAGTTAACATGTTAGCTGTAGGCTAAGGATGGGAAAATGAGGTCCTAATGTTCACTTAAATGACAATTTTTTTTTTCATTCTTGCATTTATTGATTGTTTAGTTCATCATGCTTAGGTAATGAAGGTAAAGATTGCCGTTGAGTTATTTTCTCAGAAAATAAATATCTTAAGGGATGAAAGTTTATCTAGGAAGTTTAAGACGTTTAAAAGCTTCCTAAATTAAGGAATTCCATACTCTCTTATTTAGCCTTGTCTCCTAGTAGCTTCTGTCAATTTTCTAACAATCAAATGCCGTACAGGTTAACAAGTCAATGATAGATTTAGTTTTAGTTTCATCTACTGGAAATTTACAGCTTAGCCTACAAAATGTTTAAGAGTTTCAAAATTATTCATACAAATTATAGAATGTTAAATAGACATTTCAAAAAGTTATAGGACTAATAGCTTTGTAAGCCTAGTAATAGTTAGTCCAGTAACCTAGACAATAACAATATTTGACAACAACCTGCAGCATCTTCTGTATTTTTGGTATTCTGATAGAGCCGCCCACCAGCACAACGTCATGTATCTGGCCTTTGTCCAGCTTGGCGTCCCCCAGGGCTCTCTCCACGGGCGCCAACGTTGACCGGAACAGATCCATGCATAACTCTTCAAACCTAAAAATGAGTTTGACTCGATGAAGAAAGCAAATTAGTTGTAGCCTACATTGTACCACTGTAATCAGTCATCTGTTCTTTATAGCAAAATATATCGATTTGCTCTCTACATCTTTTTATCTGATAAGCGGTTTTGCTTAAATTGACACAGGTATTAACAGTAATTTTTTTATTTAACTTGACTTCAATTGTTAATCTCTGTTATCCATTAGGCCTACTGGTACCGCAAACATATATTGTAACAATTGTGTCTAACATAACTTTGTAAAGCAACCGATGAGATGTAAGAATAATTATAACTCAGTAGAACTACAGTATGGATTCACGATTCACTTACTTAAATTTAGTATTAAAATTTGGTAATTATTTACCGTATTTACATTGGGATATGATGAAATTTTGATATGTCTACATACAGCATTTTTAATGCTGAATCCAAAAATGCAATCAGTTTTGGTCGGAGAGATTCCTAAGTGGCCGTACAGTTAAATAATTAATATTAAGCTTCAGTTTTGTAGAGTTATTAACATATTTGTGGTATGGACGAGTCCAAGTTCTAGTGGTGACTAGCACTAAAAGGGGTGGAAGGTTTGTGGAGTGGAAACAGCTGTCGGTTGTTTACATTCAATATACATTCAATACTACTCAGACAAAACCACACACGACGCCATGAGAGCAAAATCAGAGTTACAATAGGCCTATGCAATAACTAGATTTTTCAAAGAAAATGGACTTTGGCGCTGTTTAGAAAATACAATCACTCAACTACGATACATAAACTATTAATCGCATGAACTTAAAATATAAAACAAAATAGAATTTATTCACGTAAAATATCAGTAATAGAAGCTAGGCCACTGCCGACATGATCATCGTCCTCATTCCAATCCTCAACCATTGGCTAATGCCTCAACGTCTGTTAATGAACGTGCCATAGTGCATAATCCCATAGTACATAATCCCATTGTGTCTAAAAGTGAAAACGTGCCACAGTGCATAATTGAATGTATCAGCAACTAATAAATTATGTTACATAATCTAATCTAACCAAATGTAATCTAACCTAACCCAACCCAACCTTAATATTAATGTTTAAATCGCAGTTTATGTCAGAAAAGGCATGTGAGGAAGATAGGTCGGACTTTATGCGGATTCGTGACTATATTAAGTCCTTTGAAGTGAGGTTAGATTAGGTAAGTTAAAGGTTAGGTTATAATGAACCGACTCATTAATTTATGCAACTTCCGGACTGTTTTTGCACAATTAAATAGGCCTAGTGGGTGAAACACAATGAAATAACGATATCAAAAATGTGCAAGCTTGCAATTGTTGCAATTAGATTGTGTTGTGCAAAAACAGTCTGGAAGTTGCATAGATTAATGAGTCGGTTCATTATAACCTAACCTTTACCCTCCTAATCTAACCTCACTTCAAAACACTTAATACAGTCACGAATCCGCATAAAACCCGACCTACCTTCCCCACATGCCTATATAAGAACAGATTATTTGGTTTCAAAAATCAAAACGAATTGATTTGATTTAATTCCGCATTAGATCAAGTATAAACAGTTTTTTTGCTCTTCTCACTCAGTCTTCCTCACTCCTCACTCAGTACGGACCCATCCAGTCCAGACCACACCATATTAACTTTCAATACCGCTCAATTATCCTTAGATTCGTTATCCTAACCTTCGTTTTACGGCCACTACGGCAACTTAGGAATCTCTCCGACAAAAACTTATTGCATTTTTGGATTCAGCGTTAAAAATACTGTAAGTAGACATATAAAAATAACATCATATCCCAATGTAAATACAGTAAATATTTGCCTAAAATTTGTTTGGTGGCAATTTATGTCACAGGCCTAGGTGAGTTATACCGTATTGAACTCTAAATCTTGTTTCTTTAGCATCAAAGATTCTAGTTAATAAATATGTAAGAGTAGGCCTATTATTCACTTTAAACTTTTTTATGTGGTAGGCCTACATAAAAACTCAATAACTTTTAATGTTGAACATTGTCAATCCCCATTGTTATAAAATTTATATTAATCTATTCTGTTTACTTACACCGTACTTGTTGTACATTCCCAGCCATGGTAATAACAATTAATATTAATTAATATTGCTGTAAAGTAGATATTCCCCTAGGTTGAATAATGATACCTCAAAATACTAACCTACCGTATGTAAAAATATAGTTCACCTCATTGTTGTTTAAATTGAGGTTAGGTAAGTTATGTTAGGCCTATTTTTTTAACAGTAGCCTAGTCTATGTGATCATTAAATAAAATGATCAGAAATAAAATTATGAAATTAATTAGGATAACTTAATTAAAATTATAAAGTTAGGATAGCAAGATAAAATACCTGGCTCTGGTGATCTTGCTGTAAAAGTCCACACCATCATGAAGAGCATCTATCTCAAGGCTTGCTTCCGTGCTAGAAGACAATGTTCTCTTAGCTCGTTCACAGGCAGTTCTCAAGCGACGTAGCGCTCGTGAGTTGTTCTTCAGATCCTTCTTGAACTTGCGTTGAAACTCATCAGCAAAGTGGGTCACCAATCGGTTGTCAAAGTCCTCTCCACCTGAAAACAAGCAATGAGACATTTTTAACACGTTCAATGCTGAATAAGTGAGAGCATGTGGTCTCCTAAGCCCATATTGTATTTATCTCCCTAAACCTATACCAAACTCATAGGCAGGGACGAACATGAAAAAGATACTGAGGTGTAGACTTGTGGCACTCAAAGTAATAATAACTGCCCTTTTCAATGTGACTAAGCTTATAGTGACCCAATGTATTTAAGATTGTTTGTAAGCCGCCTATTTACGGCACCAGGGTTGCCTCTCATCCCGATTCTGCCAGGACAGTCCCGATTTTGGTTCCTTATGCCCGTATTTAAGCCTATGTTAATCTGGGCGAAGGGGGCTATGTCCCGATTTTTCCCTAACCTAAGGTGGCAGCCCCACCAACTAAAGTCGTTGTGGGTGGTGATTGGGGTACAGTTTCTTAACCCGGTGTTTGTGTTAAGCCTAAAGAACAGAGAAAACATTAAGTTAAACCTTAAGGTTAAATAAATTGCATGATAAGTAGCTTACGTTCATAATTACCCATGAAAGTTAATTATCTGTAGTCTTCTATACCTAGTTTAAGTAATTTATTTACCTTGAATTTGAAGATCTTATCCTTTTCTGCAGGCCATAACATTCATTTGAGGTTACCGGTAGGCCTATGACCAAGTCAATGATAATTTTTGACGCAAGCTGTAAACATGTTTCCATTTTTCTACTAGGGCCTGACTTATCTTTTGTTATCTGGTTTGGAATTCGAAAACACCAAAATATTGAGTATTTATGCCACAGAGAAAATTAGGTATAGGCTTATATCCAAATACTTATGGCAAAATTCATGATTTTGACCACTGCAATACAACAACAGTTTGTTGTTAAAGTTGTGTCAGCTAGCAGAAAAGCAGATACTTCAGATTTAATATTTAATAAAACTGTTTCCAACACAGCTAGAATTTTTTGGAAAATGTAGCTTAGTTGAAATTTTAAAAATACTAAATTAGTTTAACTAAAGAAAATGCGCCCGGCTTTGTTATTAGTGTTTAAGTTTAAATACTATCTGTCACTGTCAGGTAGGAGGCTACTGACTGAACACTGAAACTTAAACAAAACAGACGCAGACGACATAGAATAATATCAGCTGAGCTGAAGAACTGATTTTGGGGGTTTCTCATACTGTCATTGCCTGACAATATTGTCGTTCTTACGGTGTGGGATACTGTAAGAAATCAAAATGACAAGCAGACAAATACCGTAGCATTAAAAATTAAACTATCGTAGAATTGGTTATTTTTCTCAAGGGATATATAATTAATTATTGGGGCAAGCAATACCAATGCAACGTTATAGTATACGTTACTAGCCCGGTAAGTAGTGTTTTACCGTGCTAGCACGACGGTTCCCGCGCGAGGTTTAGTCAGTGGGATTTTCGTGCGAGTACGTTAAAGGAGACCGGGCGAGTAACGTACGATACTTTACATCATAATACACAGAATAATTAGTACATTTTAAACGCTTAGGTAACACAATTTATTTAGAACATAATATAAATTATAATATTTTAATATTACAGAAAATAAAATAAGCCGTTGCAGTTGGCTGTTTATTTCATCAGCTAACTATGTGCACGGTAAAAGTACATAACGTTACTTTTCCATGTTTAGTCACGGTAAAGGGCAACTTTCCAGCCTATCAATACGCATGGAAAAGTACCTGTTTCTGTGTAGTAAGATGTAAAAGATTTTACGTTAACAATGTTTTAATAAATAAGAAATCGTCAATAACATAGATAAAAAAGATTATTATATGCCAGTAGTATTATAGTTAGAAAATAATACTTCTAGCTGTTGTGTGTCCTTATGGTTATTATTATTGTAGCAAGTGGGGCTTAATTAAAACTTCACATATTAATATAACATACATTTATTAGGAGCTCTATTAAAGATTTTACAATTCGGTTCTAAGTCCATTTTGCAGAGAGCGAGTCTCCTTCTTAATCAAAGTGAGCTGGTGCTACCAGTGCTGCCAACATAGCACTTTCAAACTAAACTAACAAAACTTTACTTTTTATATATATAACAAAACAACTCACAACACCTCCCCCTTAAATCTTTTTATCCTCTAACTAACAATTTAACAAAGTTTCAAAATTATGAGCATTAGCACTTTTATAATCTTACCAGACAAAGACTTCTGAAATTTTAAACAATCATTTCCTAACCTATCAAACAACATAAGAATTTTCAACCATAAACTAAACATAATACTCTTTATCTTCAAAAATTACCAAAACTTGTAGGCTATTAGTATTTCAAACGTTATTTACCAAGTAGTGCCTAAACAAACCCTTTATTATCTATAACATCTCAAATATAATCCTTTTGGGTCATTTGCATTTAAAGAGTTTGCTAAAGAATGGTGTTTCGAAGTAGTTAATACAAGTCCATTATATCCCAGGTCAAATGGACAAGATGAGAGAACCATTCAGACAATAAAGAAAATTCTGAAAAAATGTCATGAAGTTAGGTCAGATGTTCAGTTAGCTATTTTAGAATATCGTAATACGCCTGTTGTTAATGGGTTGTCACCATCTCAAATTCTTATGGGTCGTAGGTTGCGTACTAAAGTGCCTATCACAAAAAGGTTGCTTCAGCCAAGTTTATCTAATCTTAGTAATGTCAAACAAGCTATCGTAAACAATCAAACTAAGTCTGCTCAAGTGTATGATCGAACAACTAAGCCTAAAGCTGAGTTTCAGTTAAGGGATCCAGTTTATGTGTACAATCTTGTTAAAAGGGTATGGGAACCAGGTCAAATTGTAGCTCTAACAGGTAGTCCTAGATCTTATATGGTTAAGATGAGTAATGGACGAGTGCTGAGAAGGAATAGTTTTCATTTAAGGTTGAGGTCTGAAATTGGACGTAATTTAAATAGGCCTATTGATGATCAGAGAAATGAAGTGTATTATGATGTAGAATCAGATCAATCACAAACTCCGGTTACAAATCCTAGTAGGCCTATTACTGTAAATGTATCACCAAGTTCAAATAACTTGACAAATACTCGTATTAGCGAGACTTTAACCCCACAAACTCAAGTTGTGTCCCCATTTTCACAATCTCAATCACTAGATTTAAGTCGTGGTGTCGCTTTAACACCAATGCATAGTAGTGTAAACCACAATACTTACTTACTCTTACTCCTGTGGCCATTGGAAACCTAGGTGGTTTTTGGCCTCGCCAACCATGTGCCTCCAAGCTCTTCTATCCTCTGCCAGTTCCAAGTCTGCTCCCATTCCTCTCAAGTCCTTCGTCACCTCATCAAATTTATCATCATGTAAACCACAATGGTACGCCTAATGTGAGAAGTGCTTATAAAACTAGGTTTGGTCGTGTAATTAGGCCTCCAAGAAGGCTAGAGGATTATGACACTGATTAACTGTCCTGTATTGTGTTATTTGAGGTGCTTAAGTAAAGAAGTTGTACAAAAAATGGAATTTACATTGTATAGGCCTAACCAAGAAAAGGGTTAGGAAGTGAATTATGTTTAATAGTGTAGCCTAATAGGTTTTTGTTGGGACTGTTTAAGTTTTGAGTAAACCTCAGTTTGAAGTATTTTAAATATGATTGTATTTCTCTATATTGATTGTTGTTTTTATATTTGAGATGTTATAGATAATAAAGGGTTTGTTTAGGCACTACTTGGTAAATAACGTTTGAAATACTAATAGCCTACAAGTTTTGGTAATTTTTGAAGATGAAAAGTATTAGGTATGTTTAGTTTATGGTTGAAAATTCTTATGTTGTTTGATAGGTTAGGAAATGATTGTTTAAAATTTCAGAAGTCTTTGTCTGGTAAGTTAAAAAAGTGCTAATGCTCATAATTTTGAAACTTTGTTAAATTGTTAGTTAGAGGATAAAAGATTTAAGGGGGAGGTGTTGTGAGTTGTTTTGTTATATATAGTAAAGTTTTGTTAGTTTAGTTTGAAAGTGCTATGTTGGCAGCACTGGTAGCACCAGCTCACTTTGATTAAGAAGGAGACTCGCTCTCTGCAAAATGGACTTAGAACCGAATTGTAAAATCTTTAATAGAGCTCCTAATAAATGTATGTTATATTAATATGTGAAGTTTTAATTAAGCCCCACTTGCTACAATAATAATAACCATAAGGACACACAACAAGCAATATTAGAATTGAATGCATATAAAGACTATATTGAAATTTCGTGTCTGGGGACGCATATGCATACCAGCGAGCATACCTACATAACTAATTAGTCTATCTCTGCTATTATACAGAAACTAATCCCTCTAGTAAGGATTTGATTGAATTAAAATCGCGAATGTTTAGATGGGATTAATGAGTTAAAGGTAGAGGTAGAATTAATGTGCAATAAAATTGTAAAAAAAACTTCTGAAACATGAGCACCACAACCATAAAGTAGAGAAGCTAATTTTCACCATTTTTCATATTTGTTGTCATTCTCGTTGTAATTATGACGATGATCACTAGTTTAATAAATGCATCCTACATTCTAATCAATATTGCAGTAACTCTAATCACCTAGATGTGTATCCCCAGCTGTAGACTTGACCTCAAACAAGGACCCCTCGTCAATTGTCAAGATAGAGACATCAAATGTTCCACCCCCAAGATCAAAGATAAGGACGTTCTTCTCGCCCTTCAAATTTTTGTCAAGGCCGTATGCTAAAGCAGCAGCGGTCGGCTCGTTGATGATTCTGAGTACATTTAGACCAGCAATAGCTCCGGCATCTTTCGTAGCTTGACGTTGGGAGTCGTTGAAGTAGGCTGGCACTGTTATCACCTGAACATAAAACAAAAACATTTTTTCCTACAGTCACCCGACAAAGTTGGCTTCCTTGTACTGTTTATAGTACAGAAAGCTGCTAATTGCTGCATATTTATACTTTGCCGTACGGTTTATACTTTGCCGTACGGTTTATAGCCTACTTTGCCGCACATCAGGATTCCAACGAAACAACACAAAACAGCGTGGTTCTATTATGCACGTAATCCGTGTACGCTTGGAAATAGGTTGGCAACACTTAAAGATAATAATACTGTAATGAAGTGTTTCAAAAGACCTGAGGTAAACACCAGGAAAGGTACTCGGTGACATGAGGGAAAAGTACTGAGGGAAAGACCTGAGGGAGAGTACCAGGAAAAGGTGCTCAGTGACCCGAGGGAAAATTTCTGAGGGAAAGTGCTGAGGGAAAAGTGCGCAGGACTTTCGCTGGGTACTGGGTACCTTCCCCCACTCTCGAAGCACTTCCTGGCCCTATATAAGGAGCATCCTTGGGGGACTTCGTGAGTTGGGCCTCCGGGCCCACCCCCGCCGGTAGGCGCCACCGGTGGGTCCCTTCCCCCGCACTAGAGGCGTGTTGAGCTCGGTGCATCCCGTCCCCCGCACTAGAGGCGTGTTGAGCTCGGTGCTTCCCGTTCCCCCGCACTAGAGGCGTGTTGAGCTCGGTGCACCCCGTCCCCAGCACTAGAGGCGTGTTGAGCTCGGTGCACCCCGTCCCCAGCACTAGAGGCGCGTTGAGCTCGGTGCACCCCGTCCCCAGCACTAGAGGCGTGTTGAGCTCGGTGCAACCCGTCCCCCGCACTAGAGGCGTGTTGAGCTCGGTGCACCCCGTCCCCAGCACTAGAGGCGTGTTGAGCTCGGTGCAACCCATTCCCCAGCACTAGAGGCGTGTTGAGCTCGGTGCATCCCGTCCCCGCACTAGAGGCGTGTTGAGCTCGGTGCAACCCGTCCCCCAGCACTAGAGGCGTGTTGAGCTCGGTGCTTCCCGTTCCCCCGCACTAGAGGCGTGTTGAGCTCGGTGCATCCCGTCCCCCAGCACTAGAGGCGTGTTGAGCTCGGTGCTTCCCGTTCCCCGCACTAGAGGCGTGTTGAGCTCGGTGCATCCCGTCCCCAGCACTAGAGGCGTGTTGAGCTCGGTGCATCCCGTCCCCGCACTAGAGGCGTGTTGAGCTCGGTGCTTCCCGTTCCCCAGCACTAGAGGCGTGTTGAGCTCGGTGCTTCCCGTTCCCCCGCACTAGAGGCGTGTTGAGCTCGGTGCATTTCGTTCCCGCACTAGAGGCGTGTTGAGCTCGGTGCATTCCGTTCCCGTACTAGAGGCGTGTTGAGCCCGGTACATTCCGTTCCTGTACTAGAGGCGTGTTGAGCCCGGTACATTCCGTTCCGGCACTAGAGGCGTGTTGAGCCCGGTGCAGCTGGTTGGCGTGTTGAGCCCCAGCACCTGTTTTAATTCAGTTTAAGTCCCCGGTGGCCAAAGGAGCTGCCTCCCGGGACCATGTATCCGTCTGGAGGGGGATGAAGAGGCTCACCTCCACTATGTAAGGAGAGTGCCGTCTAGGAGAGATCGCAGTCGACATCCGTCAGCGTTGCTGGCGACATCGCGAGGAGCTGCTGCGCTTGGGACAGCGATCCGCCCAGCACTTCTCGGGCAGTCCGCATCCGACAGTGGGACAGGCAACTTCGTAAGGAGCTGCTGCGTTTGGGCTCTTGTTGGTGAGCCGCCCAGCACTTCTGGAGACAGAGGAGTCGACGTCCGACAGCGAGACTGGTGGCATCGTGTGGAGTTGCTGCGTTTGGGCTCTGGTTGGTGAGTCGCCCAGCACTTCCCGAGACGGAGCCAGTTAGAGGACTGCAGGAGCTGAGAGAAGAGGACTGCAGGAGCCGAGAGGAGAGGACTGCAGGAGCCGAGAGGAGAGGACTGCAGGAGCCGAAAGGAGAGGACTGCAGGAGCCGAGAGGACTACAGGAGCCAAGGAGAGGACTGCAGGAGCCGTGAGAAAAGGTCTGCCTGAGCCGAGAGGAGAAGGGTAGAGCCGTGCTGTTAGGACTCCTGAGAGCCGTGGAGCAAGTGGGAGAAGCCACAGGTTGGGCTTCACGAACAGAAGAGATTTGTATATATTGTGTATAGTTTTTGTGTAAATAGTCCTGAAATAATAAATGTGTTGTAATCCATGCAAGTGTTCAGTCAATCTGAGTCCTAAAATCCCCGAAAAGGTCTGAATGCTGTACAAAGGTAAAAACCTGAGAAAGTACGTTACATATTTTGGCGCCCGAACAGGGACCTGATTGACTGACACTTGTGGAACAGACCAAGGGGAGGACTCATTGATACTGAGGACAGTTTAAGAAAATTATGAACAAAATGTCTGGAGTTGTATCTAAAACGAAAAGTCAGCATACACAAAAAGATGAAGTGAATCTTGGATCATCATGGATTTATAAAAGAAAAGTTAATGAGTTACAGGAGGTGCTGAAGAAAATTGTGCGTCCACCGACTTCTGCGACCATGGATGAAAAGCACTCCATCAGTAGCTGGTCTAAGAGTTATCTGGAGCCCCCAGGTAAGACAACTGCATCGTCAGCAATAGTTAGTAAAGAAGAAGCGATGACCACGATACAACAGGTGCCAGAGGCAGGGAAGGAAACCGTGAGTACCACTGACAGTTGTCCTGTAATCTACTTTACCGAACCTAAATTGAATCTAAATTTTTACGTTGAAAGAGATGAGACAATGCTGCCAGACAGAGGATCAAATTTTGTTGTAAATGCTACATTTGAGAGAGAAAAGTCATTTTCGGTTAAGAAATGGCAAAGGGAGGACCAGAAGCCTCAAAGAAGAGAGCGCAAATTCAGAGATAGGACAATGAAAGTAAAGTATTATAGACACAAAGGGAAAACTGTATAAATTGGTTTAATTTTAAATATTGTTTGAGAAGTTTTTGTTATGATTTGCATTTTGTTAAGAAGATTTTTTTTTCCATATATGAAGAGTTGTTGTTAGTTGAAAGGAGCTCATTATTTATTTTGACCTGGAATGGGATATTGGTTTTAAGAAAGAAATTTTTTTCTTTTCTTTTGTTTTCATAAAGAAAGGGGGGAGTGTAATGAAGTGTTTCAAAAGACCTGAGGTAAACACCAGGAAAGGTACTCGGTGACATGAGGGAAAAGTACTGAGGGAAAGACCTGAGGGAGAGTACCAGGAAAAGGTGCTCAGTGACCCGAGGGAAAATTTCTGAGGGAAAGTGCTGAGGGAAAAGTGCGCAGGACTTTCGCTGGGTACTGGGTACCTTCCCCCACTCTCGAAGCACTTCCTGGCCCTATATAAGGAGCATCCTTGGGGGACTTCGTGAGTTGGGCCTCCGGGCCCACCCCCGCCGGTAGGCGCCACCGGTGGGTCCCTTCCCCCGCACTAGAGGCGTGTTGAGCTCGGTGCATCCCGTCCCCCGCACTAGAGGCGTGTTGAGCTCGGTGCTTCCCGTTCCCCCGCACTAGAGGCGTGTTGAGCTCGGTGCACCCCGTCCCCAGCACTAGAGGCGTGTTGAGCTCGGTGCACCCCGTCCCCAGCACTAGAGGCGCGTTGAGCTCGGTGCACCCCGTCCCCAGCACTAGAGGCGTGTTGAGCTCGGTGCAACCCGTCCCCCGCACTAGAGGCGTGTTGAGCTCGGTGCACCCCGTCCCCAGCACTAGAGGCGTGTTGAGCTCGGTGCAACCCATTCCCCAGCACTAGAGGCGTGTTGAGCTCGGTGCATCCCGTCCCCGCACTAGAGGCGTGTTGAGCTCGGTGCAACCCGTCCCCCAGCACTAGAGGCGTGTTGAGCTCGGTGCTTCCCGTTCCCCCGCACTAGAGGCGTGTTGAGCTCGGTGCATCCCGTCCCCCAGCACTAGAGGCGTGTTGAGCTCGGTGCTTCCCGTTCCCCGCACTAGAGGCGTGTTGAGCTCGGTGCATCCCGTCCCCAGCACTAGAGGCGTGTTGAGCTCGGTGCATCCCGTCCCCGCACTAGAGGCGTGTTGAGCTCGGTGCTTCCCGTTCCCCAGCACTAGAGGCGTGTTGAGCTCGGTGCTTCCCGTTCCCCCGCACTAGAGGCGTGTTGAGCTCGGTGCATTTCGTTCCCGCACTAGAGGCGTGTTGAGCTCGGTGCATTCCGTTCCCGTACTAGAGGCGTGTTGAGCCCGGTACATTCCGTTCCTGTACTAGAGGCGTGTTGAGCCCGGTACATTCCGTTCCGGCACTAGAGGCGTGTTGAGCCCGGTGCAGCTGGTTGGCGTGTTGAGCCCCAGCACCTGTTTTAATTCAGTTTAAGTCCCCGGTGGCCAAAGGAGCTGCCTCCCGGGACCATGTATCCGTCTGGAGGGGGATGAAGAGGCTCACCTCCACTATGTAAGGAGAGTGCCGTCTAGGAGAGATCGCAGTCGACATCCGTCAGCGTTGCTGGCGACATCGCGAGGAGCTGCTGCGCTTGGGACAGCGATCCGCCCAGCACTTCTCGGGCAGTCCGCATCCGACAGTGGGACAGGCAACTTCGTAAGGAGCTGCTGCGTTTGGGCTCTTGTTGGTGAGCCGCCCAGCACTTCTGGAGACAGAGGAGTCGACGTCCGACAGCGAGACTGGTGGCATCGTGTGGAGTTGCTGCGTTTGGGCTCTGGTTGGTGAGTCGCCCAGCACTTCCCGAGACGGAGCCAGTTAGAGGACTGCAGGAGCTGAGAGAAGAGGACTGCAGGAGCCGAGAGGAGAGGACTGCAGGAGCCGAGAGGAGAGGACTGCAGGAGCCGAAAGGAGAGGACTGCAGGAGCCGAGAGGACTACAGGAGCCAAGGAGAGGACTGCAGGAGCCGTGAGAAAAGGTCTGCCTGAGCCGAGAGGAGAAGGGTAGAGCCGTGCTGTTAGGACTCCTGAGAGCCGTGGAGCAAGTGGGAGAAGCCACAGGTTGGGCTTCACGAACAGAAGAGATTTGTATATATTGTGTATAGTTTTTGTGTAAATAGTCCTGAAATAATAAATGTGTTGTAATCCATGCAAGTGTTCAGTCAATCTGAGTCCTAAAATCCCCGAAAAGGTCTGAATGCTGTACAAAGGTAAAAACCTGAGAAAGTACGTTACAATACTATGAGCAGCTGATTGACTATTAACTACGATTTAACCTGTCATTTCGCGTTTATAGTTTAGGTATTTCTGAACTTTCTGGACTTTTCATTTAAACGTTTTTAAACCATTCCTACGATCTTAATAAACAAGAAAATACCTTTAACGCATTTTTTTTGGCGCGGAAACCACTTCAAATTACAAAAACATACGGAACTATATTCTCAAAACGCGGAGCACATTTCTTGCCGAGGAAAAATAGCGGAGTGATACAGACCGCGGGTACTACTTTCTCTAGGGCACCTATTTGTGTTGAACCTAAAAACGTGTTGTATAGTGTTTGAAAAACTAATTATTTATATGCTTTATAGTGACTGTAGGAAAAATATAATGTGTAACACGAGTGAAAAAGGCCTTTGCTGCACTCGAGATCATTCCGCACTCGCCTGCGGCTCGTGCGTAAACATTGCTCTCGTGTGCAGCAAAGTGCCACTTTCACCACTAGTTACACAAATAACTATTGTCTTGCTTGAAAACGTTTTCATCAATTGTATTTTTTTAACAGTCAAGTTGTATGCATTTTTGTAGCTTAATCATTGATGAATTATTGTCTAATCTGGTTAATTGTATTAATTTTGCTTAGGATTGTTCTTCCAAACATAAATAGAATATAATAGTCCTATGTTAATTTCCCTAGGTAAATTCTATACAGTGTGATTGAAAAGTCCCGGAACGGTGAAATATTTTTAAAAATAATGCAGATAGAGCTAAAATACTTGGTACAAAGTTACAGGGCATAAAACTCTATTTTAACACATATTCAGTGACTCAATAACTCTTCAGGGGGACGTCCCACAAGGAGTCAGAAGAAAATCTTAAATGGAAGCATAGGTCAATATGCACATCAAATTAAAGGTCTTTTTTAGTAAAATACAATGCTGCAAACTGCACATCACAAGGTTGATCCTGCGCAAAATGACAGTTGTTCAAAGATTAATTTAATTTACATTGCTATTATACGCTTTCTCCTCAGGGTTGAAAACTCTATTTTAACACATATTCAATGATCCGATTATTCTTGAGGGGGACAGCCCTAGGAATCGGAAGAAAATTGTTAACAAGAATAGGTCAATATGTACATCAAATTAAAGGTCTTCACTTTTAGATTACGATGCCGTAAATTCAAGCTCAAAAGAATGCCTGAGTAAAAAATGGCAGTCGTTCAAAGATTAAAAATGGCGGATTCAAGAAATCTTTGAACATCTGCCATTTTGTGCAGGATCAACCTTTTGAAGTGCGGTTTGCGGCATTGTATTCTACTAAAAAAGACCTTTAATTTGATGTGCATATTGACCTATGCTTACATTTAAGATTTTCTTCCGACTCCTTGTGGGCTGTCCCCCTCAAGAATAATTGGATCATTGAATATGTGTTAAAATAGAGTTTTATGCCCTGTAACTTTGTTATAAGTATTTTAGCTCTATCTAAAAGCTTAGATAGCTACCAATATTTAACCGTTCCGGGACTTTTCAATCACACTGTATATATGGGTAAATTCCATTAGGGTTTGTCATAGTCTTAAAAGATAAAACAATTAATATTTTCACTCACAGCGTCAGTCACTTTTCCTCCCAAGTATGTCTCAGCAATCTCCCTCATCTTCGTGAGAACCATAGAACTGACCTCCTCGGGAGCAAACTTCTTCAGCTCTCCCTTGTACTCAACCTGCGGGAAACAAGAAACAAGAAAATGTCTTTCTTTTGCTGTGTAGAAAAACTGAGATTCAACTATTGTTTTTGGCTTCTAGCTTTTGGTTGATTATAGCTGCAAATAACTATAAAGCCGTGTTGTAGGTTATACAGAAAAGAAATAAATTGAAGGTAGACAACATACTAAGTAATGAGCACCTGAGAGTCTACAATCCAACTATTTTGTTTGTATCCCGCAAAAGTCTTGTGTATACATCAATACATCACTTTGCATCTCTGTTAGATTTAGAATTAAACGCCCTCATAGTTTTACCACAAATAATTTTATTTTATTTTATAGTTTTACCTTATAAACCTGACCATATCATGTTACTTTCTCACGAAACTGGCATTGCTTCTTCGACGTTGACGAATCAAACATTACGATATTTAATATTCAAGAAATAAGTACACTTTACATTTAACGCCCGTTTCTGCACTTTTGACTGACTACAGCCAGGACCTTTCTGAGGACTAGACTAAGAAGGTTTTGCTATGAAGATTACCTGTATTTTTGGTTTTCCGCCATCATTGACTACAGCAAAAGGCCAGTGCTTCATGTCCTCCTGAATCTTGGTGTCGTCGAAGCGTCGACCAATGAGCCGCTTGGCGTCAAACACTGTGTTCTTCGGGTTCATCGCCACCTGTGGTTGGGGAAGGTAATATAATACAAGTAACATAATTAATGTAGTGTATTATTTTATAAATGAGATATCCCATAATATGAATATTGAATATTATTCAACTTAATACATTGCTGACATTTTTTACTCAGCCTTCCTTGTGCAAGGGATTTCGCTACAACGTGTATGGTGTCAATCTTTCAATAATTTCAGTTAATACTTGGATCACAATTATGTTTAGGTTTCTGAAAAATTACTTAGATTAAAAGTGTATATTCAAATTAAATTAAGGCACTAGAGTAGTTTTGTATTTATTAGAGGTGAACTCAATTTATCTACTTTTTTTATGAAAGAACATTCAAAGTTCACATATATTTACAGCTTCAGAAGTTTTATTTTTACTACAATGTGCATATGGTGTCAATCTTTCACTAATTGCAGTTAATACTTCGATCCAAAATTATGTTTAGGTTTCTGCATTACTTCGATTAAAAGTGTAAATCCAAATTAAATTAAGGTGTAGGCCTACTAGAGTAGTTTTGTATTTATTATATGTGAACTCATTTATCTACTTTTTATGAAAGAACATTCAAAGTGCATTAACTGCTTCAGAAGTTTCATTGGTGTTGTGTATTTTGAAATGTATATTACGTCAATAGTCCGAACAATTCCTGTTTACCGGGCGCCTATTGTTCCCTCGCGAGGAGTGCGGGAGTACCATACGAGTATGGTAAAACACATATTTTGAACGAGTGAAGTGTGAAGCACGATATTTTTTGCCATACTACTTAATAACGTAAAAATAAAATAACCCCCGCTGCAGCAAACCTTCAGACTACGCGAATTTAAACTTGTCTGATTACATGTTTACAAAGATATTTCCAAGACATATTTATTCCAAATTTAAATGACATTAGATTTAACAAGTGCTTAGGTTTGCTGCTATGGGGAAGGTAAAAAGTGTGTTTTTACCAAACATAGGATGAAAAAAAATTAAATTGCCAAATTTCATCAACATATATCGGCAAACAAGTAAACTACGACAGTTTTAATTTTCTCCATAAAAATAACATGGCAATTTTGGACTTTAAACCTTTTATTGAATTTTTTATGTAACCTTTAGGCATACAAAAGAGCTTCAATATAATAAATTATTTCTTGTTTTAAGCTCTACAAAAAGGCTAAGAAAGAAATTGAAAAATTTTATGTTTTTGGGGTTAAAAATGGGGAAAACTCATTTTTACCCCATAAAACCCCACATAAGCCCCCGTTCCCATGGTATGATCATGTTGGTTTGTGAACTCGTTCGAATAAATGTAGGTTTACACGCTTATACCAAACTAGTGGCTTGTAGGGACATAAGTCCCTAAAAAGCTCAAATGTAAAACAACTTCTTGCAATACCGGTATTTAAACAAACTCAGAATAACATTATCTATGTGTCAGAATAGGCATCCCTACACCATATCTTTTGTGTAAAAACCAGTTTGTTGTTCTTCTTTGTTTGCTTTTGTTGATGTCATTTTCAATAAATAATTTGAATCACTCCAGTGGTTTAACATGAAAAGGCAGCAAACATATCATTGTTTGTGAATAAATACTGGTTTACTAAGGTAGCTTTGGTCTTGTGGTTAATGAGGATAAATAAAGGCTTCCCTGTTTGGAATTTTAAAAATTCATTGGAGGTTTGCCTTCAGATGATTTGAAGACGCCTGCAATTTCATCTGCAGTAGGCTTATTATACCTACGACGATCCATATTTATCCTGTCTACAAACCTAAGTTCTAATTCACTGTCACCTTGTACAACCATTTCTTCCGAAGCTCTTTTGTAAATTTGTGCAAATGGATTTTCTAATAGAATTTCAGCTAGTTTTGACAATATTTCAGGTTTTAAGTCACTATTTTATCGACGCCTTTGACGAATTTCTGTTGCTGTTGATGTGTCAATAATGTACAATTGGCCATACACGGGGTCTTCATCATGTTGAGGCAGCAAATCTGAGATTGAACGATAAATCTGTCCTTGAATTTTGAAACAGTATGGTCCTTTTCCTGGAATATCTTTCTTACTGGCTGAAAAATAAGCAAAAGCCATCGCACTGTTGCATTGTCGAATGAATTTATACAGTTGTGGGCTCTCTTCAAACAAACTTTTAAGTTCTACATTAGTTTTTGACTGAGGAAGGTTAATAAGCCCGTTATGGCAACATGTCATAAAATGATTATTCGTTAGTTCTTCTATAAAATGAAGAGCACAACATTGAATGCACTCTTGGTCCAATAATCCTGCATCATGGATCTTTACATTTCTCTCGTCTACCATGGGTCTCCTAAAAAGGGGTTGTAACATATCTTGATTAAGTTCGTCATTATCTACTCTTGCTCTCCTACGCGCACTGTCATTTCTATGAACAGTTCCCCGCCTTTGTGGTATTCCCCTGGCGTTCATATTAATTACAGTACTTATAATGAAAAGAATATATATCCAGCAGCCTACATACCAAAACATCTTGAATCCCTGGTGATTTTATAAAAGTATGATCGAATATGATTACTCTACGTTGTATATTCACTGCAATAAAAAAATTTACTTACGAAGGAATGCAAATACACCATTTTAGAACCAATAACATTTATAGGTTATTTTAGTTGTATATATTTACACAACCTTAACCTTAAAATGTGTAGAAATATAAAGAAAACAACATCATTTAAAATAAACTTGAACATATGATTTAAAAATAAAAACAAAACAGAAGTTAGATTTAATTTCGACTCTTTGATTATTTATACAGAATATTTATTCTATGTCGTTTATTCCTTTAACCCGACAATAACGTAAAAGCACCTTGACGTAATGAAACTTGAGTATATTATTTAAATATAAACAAAGAATGCAGACGTTTTTCCGACTAATCTTCAATATTTCAGTTTTATTATAGTATACATTTCATAGTTGACTGGCTAAAAGTAAACCAAATGTGTGTATTGATCATTGTTTTCAAATCTGTGGCACAGCTGTTTTAATTTCAAAAGATGTAAACAAATTAAACCCCATGTTGTTTTAATGGGAAAAATTTTATCCTGTTGTGAATTTATGGTAAAAAAATAAGAAAAATGAATAGTTTTCCCTCAAAATTCACGTCAAGACCTTTAAAATAAGACCCCTCCCATCCTTCTACGGCCATCCAGTCACTCACAATTTCTTTACAAAAATTTGACTTACGGAATTATATATATAGATTTGATCAAAATCTGATCATTTTTGCTCAAGTTATCGCACTACCAGACACATACATAAATATATATAGGCTATGAATTTGAACGAATGGTGTTTTTGGCCTCTGGGGACCTAAAAACGAAAAAGTAAATCGGCCCCGGGTCCAGATCTTACCATGAGACCTACGGTTTTAGCTTATTCCCTATATGGGAAATTCTTTTAAATTTTACAAATCCGTTATATTCCCACGGATTAAAGGAATAACAACTAGGCTACAATACACAAACAGTGTAGTGTGGCGAAAAATAAGATCTTTGACCATTAAACACAAGGATATTTCTTTATGTGCTAACATTCATAAGAATTAATGACGTTAATCTAATGGAAATTTTAAAACATATTACAAAGTCCCATCTCCACCTAATGTACTGATTTGGATACAGAGGTATCAATAAAGGGTTGCAAAAATAGACCTGCTCGCGTCATCTTGACAGATTTTCTGTAGGACATAACAAATGGCTTTCTGAATGAAGTTGCATTACAGCTGGCTAACAGCGGTTTGACATTCTAGATTACAAAACAAGGCTTCGTTACTTGATCTAAACTTAGATCTTAGAAATACAAGTCCGTATTGACATGGATTTTAAATGCTTGATTTTTAGATGCATCAATAAAATCCTTGATTACAGATAAAGACAGTTTTATTGATACTTCTCTCCGGTTTAGAGCATGTTGTTGTTTAATTTTAAATTACGGTTGAGTTATTTAATCAACCCTTTTAAATTACTAAACTAAATACAACAATCTATTAGTAAACTGTTGCATTTTCAGTTTTTTTACCGAAGAGTAATAAAAACAAATAGTTTTATATACATCTTAAAATAAGAGCGAAAAATTCAGTTGACATTACTACGCTTATTTCAGGTTTTAAGTCACTATTTTATCGACGCCTTTGACGAATTTCTGTTGCTGTTGATGTGTCAATAATGTACAATTGGCCATACACGGGGTCTTCATCATGTTGAGGCAGCAAATCTGAGATTGAACGATAAATCTGTCCTTGAATTTTGAAACAGTATGGTCCTTTTCCTGGAATATCTTTCTTACTGGCTGAAAAATAAGCAAAAGCCATCGCACTGTTGCATTGTCGAATGAATTTATACAGTTGTGGGCTCTCTTCAAACAAACTTTTAAGTTCTACATTAGTTTTTGACTGAGGAAGGTTAATAAGCCCGTTATGGCAACATGTCATAAAATGATTATTCGTTAGTTCTTCTATAAAATGAAGAGCACAACATTGAATGCACTCTTGGTCCAATAATCCTGCATCATGGATCTTTACATTTCTCTCGTCTACCATGGGTCTCCTAAAAAGGGGTTGTAACATATCTTGATTAAGTTCGTCATTATCTACTCTTGCTCTCCTACGCGCACTGTCATTTCTATGAACAGTTCCCCGCCTTTGTGGTATTCCCCTGGCGTTCATATTAATTACAGTACTTATAATGAAAAGAATATATATCCAGCAGCCTACATACCAAAACATCTTGAATCCCTGGTGATTTTATAAAAGTATGATCGAATATGATTACTCTACGTTGTATATTCACTGCAATAAAAAAATTTACTTACGAAGGAATGCAAATACACCATTTTAGAACCAATAACATTTATAGGTTATTTTAGTTGTATATATTTACACAACCTTAACCTTAAAATGTGTAGAAATATAAAGAAAACAACATCATTTAAAATAAACTTGAACATATGATTTAAAAATAAAAACAAAACAGAAGTTAG